GTTTATCATACTAGATACATTTGAAAGTTCTGTTATAATGCTACTCTGTGCGGTCGTCACCTGTCTAATAAAACGCATAACATATTAAAGCGTCTTTGGTGTTTCCATGTTTTCTACAAAACAAAACCGGAAATCGAGGGTGTATGACGTCATTGGAAGGTGAGGCAATGACCAGGGACGAGCCACTCTTTAAAACTGCTATTTCTCTGGATTTAAAAATTCTTCGAAACATTTGGGATAATGTAAGTACACAAATCAGCAAAATATATAACACTGTTCTAGTGGTTTTTGGATATTTTAATAAAAACATCTTACATATTGTGCCTTTAAAGGATATCCCCAGAAATCCCTGTATGAAGCAACATCACATTATATTATATATTTTTAAACAGTTGTTTCTTCTTATCAGTTATCAGTTTCATATGTTGAGCAAGCACATCTACCAACAAGCGTACAGATGAAGTGCCTTTCTAAATTATTTTTAGAGGAAATATACATATCTCTCAATAGTAATATCATGTTAATAGAGAGCCTGTGAGCAAATCATGTTTCATTTTGCTGAGGACAGATAACTCTGAACTGGACTAATGGAAATGCACCATACTGGTGTGATCACATTAGTGTGTGTGTGTGTGTGTGTGTGTGTGTGTGTGACAAGTGAGGTGAGGTGAGGCAAGATCGGTCTTACCCTGGAGGACTCATAGGACGGGCTGGACTGGCCACCTGAGGCCCATGATGCTTGGCTTGTCCTCTCATCCATACCTGTCCAAAACACAGATTCACAACTCCATCAAACCGTGCCCACCCAATACAACACAAAATTGAGAGGGGAAAAAGAAAGGAGTTTTATAATCTTTTTTGGGCTGTTTATTTATTATATTAAAACTAAAATAATGCAATAAAATGAACTAAATCAATCAAGTCTCCTGATCGATATGTCTATGAGCAGAATAACATCTAGTTGGAAATGCATATACTGGGAAAGGGAGAGGGGGTCTCGTTGGTCACTATGAGAAAAGTAATAGATTAGGGTATTTTAGAAAGAAAAACATGCCTAAAAAATTATTTTATTTGCACTCCAAATAAAAAATGCTAACTATTTAATAACGTAAAATATTTTATAAAAGAAGGTAAAACAACACTTCTGCAATTAAGCAACAAATATAAGAAATGTAAACAAAACCACTTACTACATGTCTATTGCAGTGTTTTATCTTTAAACCTAAAACTTAAAAATTAAATACAATATACATTTTAGAAGAAAACCTTGAAACACAGTAAATAATTCTGAAAAACTATGAAAATTAATAGAAATTAACTGAAATAAACAGGCTTAAGATGAAGCACTGCACTTGTGAAAAATTAAAATTAAAATTAAAAAAAATTAAAGCTACATAGAAATATAAAAAATAATAAAAATGACAACTACTAAAATTAAAATTACTAAAACTACTAAAATTAAAAGCTAATACAAATATATAATTAAACACCATAATAGTATATAGATAATGCTAAAATAACATGCCTTTTTTGGCAAATTTAATTACTATTAAAATAAATAAATAATTCAGTCTGATGGGATTCAGTCTGATTGTGTTTCCTCACAGTAAACTGAGACTGCAGTATACTGTACATGACGCACTACTGATGACTGTATTCATGATACAGTCTGCAACAGTTTAAATCTAATGAATCATGTTGATCATAAAATACTAGAGAACAATGCACCTGGTGGAACTCTAAATGGTCCCAGCGCAGCGTTCTCCTGTATTCTGCTGCTTTTCAATGGAACAAAATGATCTCATATATTATTTACTTGTGCATTCACCGACTGGCAATTCAAATGAATGTATTTTCTAAAACGAAAAGGAGGGAGGGGTCAGTGTTTCCCGTCATCATTCTCAGCCTGACCTTCCAGGGCCAATGGCCGACACTACAGGACACGTGAAGAGTGGAAATGTTGAGCTCATGGCGAGTGGTCATGTCCAGCACGGCTCTCTTGGCAGAAGTAAAGAAAGAGTGCAGCAGAGCTGTTAATCCTCTACACTTCCATTCAAAGGCTGCACTTTACAAGCCGGCCACGGCGCGTCATTTATTTTGCTTCGCATAAATCACTTTCAAAAATGCATCGCTCCCTTTCCCGCACTGACACTCTCGTGCCGGTGCAGCCGGGCCACTCGGAGTTGTCAGTGATGTATTACTGAAGCTCGTCAAAATAGCTGAGCGCTGAAAGTTTGATAAACCTCATATTTTACAAAGCCTCTCGGTTCCAAAAGACAGCCACAGAAAACACAGAAACTAATAAATAAATAAAAACGTAAAGTTGACGCAATTGACTTGATTCAACATCTGGTACGTGATGAACAAAAACAATATCTGGCTTTGAAAATTACATTTCGCTGAGGCTGTTGGGTAAAGATATATGATTGCTGGCTTCTTCAGGCTGTTTGAGCCAATATTGTTGTGCAGGTAACAACATTCCATTCTTCAGTCTCATGTATGAGCTTCGAAATTGCAGAGGAACAAAACATCAATATCTCTCCACGCTATTGATAATCCATGTTTGTCATTTCAACAATTCTTTCTTATGTGATTCCAGCCCATTATAACATGCAACATGGATCAAACGTGAGTAAACAGTCAGGGAAAAATGACGGTGGTCTTTACACAAATGCTGAACAGAGGGTCTCAAAAAAGCAAATCAAATAAATGTGGTGTTATTTTCATAATAATGTTGACAATATGCAAAACTGTAAGTGATCCTTGTACTGCATGGCTGAGCGTGATATAAACTCAAATCACTATCAGCTGAACATTTGCATACAAGAGAAGTTTGATTGTTGTTTACTGATCTATCAATCTAATACATCCCTTTTTAACCCATTTATCCTTTTTATATCCATTTATTTTAAAATTTTTCCATCCATCATCCATCTTTCTTTTCATCTAATTTTTTTAATCTTCATCTTTCTTTTCTTTCCTTCTCTTCATCATATTTGCCATCATCCCTTGTTTTCTTTTCCTATCCTTTATTATTTCTTTCCATCCATTCATCTTTCTTTTTATACATCCATCGTTCTTACAATACCCACCATTTCCCCATCTATCTATCTATCTATCTATCTATCTATCCCATTCATCCATCTACCCATCCTCCTTTCCACCCATCTATTCATGCTTCTTTCTTTCCACTCATCCATCCATCTTTTTATATCCATCCTTGCTTATTTTAATCATCCATCTATCCATCCATCTTTCTTTTCACTCATCCTTCCTTCTTTCTCTTTCTTTCAATCATCTTTCTTATTTCCTATTCATCATCCATAAATCTTTTCAATCAATCAATCTACCCTTCCTTCTTTCTTTGCACTCATCAATGTCTTTTTCCCTTTCTTCCATCCTTCCCTTTTTATATCCATCCTTCCTTATCTCTTTCATCCATCTTTTTCTTTTTCCATCATTCCACCATCTTTCTTTATATATATATATATATA